TGATATGGCCTAAATAAGCCGTTTCTAACTTAAGGAACTCTTATTTGTCCATTTGCACTTTGAAATTAGAGTTCCTAAGTCTCTGGAAAACTTGTTCTAAGTTGACCATGTCTTCCTGCAGCGAGGTGCTGAATACTATTATATCGTTCAGGTACACCAAACAGATCTGGTTCTGGAGACCTCGGAGGATGGTATCCATCACTCTTTGGAATGTGGAAGGCGAATTCTTCAGGCCCATGGGCATCCGAAGGAATTCGAAGTGGCCGTGTTTGACATTGAATGCCGTCTTTGGAATGTCAGCGGGGTCCATCTCTACTTGGTGAAAACCACTGGCGAGATCAAGGGTAGTAAAATATTGGCATTTACTCAGTTTGTCCAGAAAATCTGAGATATTCGCGATAGGGTATTTGTCATTTATGGTTTTTTCATTAAGTTTACGAAAATCTACCACTAGAGGCCATTTCCTTTTCCCCGATGCGTCCGCCTTTTTTGGGACAATCCAAATCGGTGGGAACCACGCGGACTAGGAGGGACGTATAATGCCTTGAGCTAACATTTTATTTATTTGGTCACGTACCTCTTGTCGATGAACAAGAGGATATCGATAGCTCTTTGTGTATATCGGAATTTCATCGGTCGTAAGGATGTGGTGTTTTATTTGATTCGTAAATGTTATGTTTTAACCTTCGATATAAAATATGTCATAATATTTGGCACAAAGAGTCATCAAATTAGCCTTTTCTTCTTCGTTAAGGTGGTCAGTGCGGAGTCGCGATAAAACGTCTTTAGCGCGTTCTGTTATAGGCTGGGTGCGCGTGTACTCAACGTTAAACACCTGTGCGTGCGCGGTGCGGTCCAAGGAAAAAACGACATCGTTATCGCTAGTATTCTCGATCTCTATTTTCGGAAACGCTGCTTATGCATTCGTGAATGACACAGTTACATAAAATTTGTTCGGGAATATAGACGTCACTATTACTACTGTCAACAGGAATTCTAACTAACTTTGAAGTATTCGCAGGAATTATATCCTCGTACAGGTTAACGTTTCGCGAATTATATAACAATATTGGGTTCACTGCAGACCGAGTAGTTAAATGTAATGCTTTTAAATCGATCTTTGCTTCCCACTTAGTTAACAGATCGAGCTCAATTAACCCGTCGATATGGTTATGAAATTTATACACGAAAAACTTTATCGGTTCGCTATCTTTAATTTCCGGAAAATAGGGCACCGTAATGGAATAATCATTTCGACTAACAGCGTGAACATTAGTAACTTCGAAAGGATCATAGTCAAGTTGATAATGAAGGAAAAATCTTTCTACAGCATCCGGGCTCAAAAATGATTGATTCGCTCCGGTATCGATGAGAAGCTTCAACGGAGGGTCTAAGATCTGAATAAATGGTAGCTGACGCTGGGTCTGCAAATTGACTTCTATTTTGGCTGAAGGGGGATCGTGAAAATTTTCTTGTTGGCTAGTGGAGGGCTGAGGATCGTTTTCTGTATCATTGACGCTTGGATAATCGTTTACCGGAACAAACTCGGGACCGTAACTCTCGTGGTTTACATAATCATTATAGCCACTTGCGTAAGATGGACATTCGTAGTAATCCGCGTAATAGTAGTTGTAGTCAGGCTCATAGTAATAGTTATCATAACCGTCACACTCGTTAAAATTCATTTCACGGCTTTTAAAACAATTCGTAGGTGGTAGGTTACCGTGCTTATTCCAATCATGATCAGTCAATCGTCCTGTAGGAAGTAAGGCTTTAGGCGTGAAGTGTTGAACGCCGCTCATAGGCTTAGGCAAACGAGCATGCGGCTCACCTGATAGTAAGTTAACGCAACTATATTATGGTTGTAGTACGAATGGGTCGGCTTGAACATGATGATAGGACCACGCTCTAATATAATACCAATGTGAAAGCATAAATCTCATAAATCATAGGAAACACAGCAGCATTAAGCTGCTGTGTTTCGTATGATGAGTGTAGAGAACCAAAAAAGGGGTCTCCCTTTTACTGAAAACGAGGCATTTCATTTTAGTCGTCAGTGGTGAGAACGCATTCACATTTTGATTCTTAACTAGTTATCTGCCTCAGCTTGGCCCGAGTAATTGCTGGATCTCGACAACAGCCTCACCTATTGGGTCCAAATTTGTGTGTTTTTTTTTAAAAACCCATTCGACCAATAAAAATTTCATCAAAACCGGTGGAGCCGTTTTTGAATTTTAGCGAGGCTAACGATCAGAAATTGATTTTTTTTTTATAGTAGAGGGGTAAACGAGCATGCGGCTCGATAAGTGACTACCGCCGCCCATGAACAATTGCAACACCAGGGAGGGAATTGCAGATGCGTTGCAGGCCTTTTAAAAAGGAGTAGGCTCTTTTCTGGAAGGTTTATATATAGAGATAGATTGAAAATAAATGTAGATGTATATGGGCCACAGCATCCACTTACCAACAGGTGGCCTGTGTGCTCGTAACCCATACTCTATAAAAAAAAGTACGCGTCGCTGGGTTGCTTACTCAACGTAAACTGACCTTGTGTCGCGATATATTTTAATTCTTCTTGCAATTAGTTACAAATTAAGTCGAAACGCAAGGTAAGATGTTTGGTTCTGAATCGATCAGCAAATATGGCAAATATATCAGAGAAACTTCCGAATCTTAGCGATGAGGATATCGAACGATCCCAATAGGGAAAAATTTCAGGATTTTCTTATTAAATATCATACGAGCACATTATGATGTTGTTGTTACCCCTGGATACTAAGATTGTACCTAGGACTCGTTACCAGTTGAAAGGGTACCTAGTTCTTTACTACTACACTTTTTGAAACACCTTATTATTGATTACACCTGGGCTCAACCGGCAAAGTAACACACTCTAAAAGAATACCAGTGTAAAACAGAAGTAGCATAGAACAATGGAGGCTCTTTTTTACTGGAAACCAGGCATTCCATCGTACGGGGGAACAACACATCTACAATTTAATTCTTAATCGAGCATAAATTATACATATGTGTGTATTTGCTGCCTATAAGCCATGGCATCTACTTACCATTAGGTGGACTGTGTGCTTGATTGTCGTTTATCACTCTAATTCTATATAACAAAACACAGTTTTAAGCTCCGTATGTATATTAACGACAAAATCTACAACCAGCTCCAAAAAAGGAGACCTCTACGGATGGGACCTCTACAGCCGTATATTAAATAATTATATTTACTACAAAGCCATTAAAATAGACGCAAAAACAATCACAAGGGTAATCTGATTACGTTATCATAGTGTTTATTGCTCTCTGTAAAGAGCCTCTGAGATGCATCATCTTGCATATATTACCTAATGCATGAAGAGAAAACTTTGTAGCCCTTTTCAAGCAGATTTTTTCGGTACTCCTACACCCAAGGCGTAGTCCCGAATTCATGGAAGACAGCTTTTGTCCACCCGATCCCTAAAAAATGCGACCGCTCAGACCCGTCCAACTATAGGCCTATCGCGATCAAGTCCTTATTCTCCAAAATAATGGAATCCATTATTAACTGCCAGCTCATTCGGTACCTTGAGGATCACCACTGATTAGTGACCGCCAATACGGTTTTCGTCGGTGTCGACCAGCTGGTGATCTTCTGGTCTACCTGACCCATAGATGGGCGGAGGCAGTAGAGTCCAAGGGGGAGGGGTTGGCCGTTAGTCTGGACATTGCGAAGGCCTTCGATCGGGTTTGGCACAAAGCGCTTCTTTCGAAGCTCCCTTCCTATAGGCTTCCCGAGAAATTATACAATTGGATCACCAGCTTTCTTGCAGATCGGAAGGTTGTAGACGGTGCATGCTCCGACTACAAGCCTATTAAGGCTGGTGTTCCACAAGGCTGCGTGCTATCACCAACGCTGTTTCTTCTGCATATCAATGATATGTTGCTAACTGGTAACATTCATTGCTAGGCGGATGACAGCACTGGTGATGCTCTATACACCGGCCGTGACAATATTTGTCGGGAAAACGTCGCCGAGTACCGGATAAAACTTGTGTCTGAAGTCGAGTCTTTGCTGAACAAAGTCTCGGATTGGGGGCGACTAAATCTAGTCCAGTTTAATCCTCAGAAGACACAAGTTTGCGCGTTTACCGCTAAAAAGAACCCCTTTGTCGTATCTCCTCAGTTTCAAGGCACTGCCCTTCTTGCCTCAGCCAGTATCGGTATCCTTGGAGTCGATATATCGAGTGACGTGCAGTTTCGTGGTCACTTGGAAGAGAAGGCCAAATTGGCCTTTAAAAAGCTTGGCGTGCTCAGCAGAGCGGGACAGTATTTCATGCCGGCACACCGCCTGCGACTTTACAAGGCGCAGGTTCGGCCTCACATGGAATAGTGTTCCCATCTCTGGGCAGGGGCTCCCCAGTGCCAGCTCCTTCCACTTGACCGCATCCAGCGCAGAGCGGCTCGAATCGTCGACGACCGAGCCCTTTCCGATCGGCTTGATTCATTGGCACTGCGAAGAGATGTTGCATCCCTTTGCATTTTCTTTCGCATTTACCATGGGGAGTGCTCTAAGGAATTGTTCGGATTAATCCCAAATTTCACGAACGCACATCGCGGCAGAACTCCCGATACCATCCACACCATCTGGATGATTGGCGGTCCACCACTATGCGATTTAGAAGATGTTTTCTTCCTCGCACGACTTCCTTGTGGAATCAATTACCATCAGCGATTTTTCCGGACCGATACGACTTGGGGACCTTCAAGAAAAGAGCGTACTCCTTTTTAAAAGGCCGGCAACGCATCTGCAATTTCCTCCCTGGTGTTGCAGTTGTTCATGAGCGGCGGTAATCACTTACCATCAGGTGAGCCGCATGCTCGTTTGCCCCCTCTCCTATAAAAAAAATAAAAACATTGCGCGCACGAAGTAGTGTGACTCGTTTGGCAAACTCGATGTTTTAGTGAATAATGCTGGAATTTGTAGATTTATCAGTATTTTAGATGAAAATCTGATGAAAGTTTACGACGAGACACTAAATACTAATCTCCGAGCGTATGTTCACATAACTAATTTAGCAGCTCCACACCTAATAAAAACAAAAGGCAGTATTGTCAACATATCCAGCACGGCGGGCTCATCAATAAGTATGTCATCGCGTACGTTGCCCTACTTCATATCAAAAGCTGCTTTGGATCAATTTTCTCGCGGAGTTGCTCTAGAGTTAGCCCAATACGGTGTCCGGGTGAACACTATCAGTCCTGGACCTGTTAAAACGGATATACTTGAAAATGCCAACGCTCCTATCACATTTGATTCATTCAAACAGTTGACTGCATTTGACCGCGTAGCAGAACCCGAAGAAATCGCCGAACTAATTTTATACTTATCCAGCGATAAAGCAAAGAGCATTACTGGTTCAAATTATGTCTCAGATAACGGATATCTCTTAAAGCATTGATATTTGTGAATATAGAGTTAAAATTTAAAAGAAAAATTTCTTTATAATGTGTGTGTGTGTGTGTGTGTGTGTGTGTGTGTGTGTGTGTGTGTGTGTGTGTGTGTGTGTGTGTGTGTGTGTGTGTGTGTGTGTGTGTGTGTGTGTATGTAAGCACCTACCCTAGATATTAAACATAAAACTTTGGAGTTTATGTTTGTAAGTGTAACTAATATTCAGAACTGTTGACAATATAATTTGCATTCAAATATTGTGTTTGTCTTCCTAGCAAAGTTATTTAAATTACTGTAACACTAAAATTTATAAATTAGAACATAACAAAACTTGTATTCCTATAATCTATGTGTACATACATTTAGTTTGTTCTATCCCTAATATCTCCTGTGATAACATAATGTACATTATATTATTTTAAGTATCACGTTCTAAATAGGGAATAAGAAAGATTTTTATTAGAATGTAATATGATAAATGCCTTTGTTTGTATTCAAAATTGGAATAATTACATATGTCTAAATATATAAATGAATATAATAATAAATTAATTTGAAATTTTAATTTTAATTTTGAATTTGAATACCTCTATTCAGAACTAAAAACTTACATGCTAAGTGAGTTTTAATTTGATTATAAAATATCTCGTAATAAAAGACTTTATACCAAATATGATTTATACCAAAAAAGTCAGATAAATGTAGCGCCTGTATATTTAAATATATACGTATCGGCACAGAATAAATAATAGTTACGTATCGGTTGATAATCAAGAGTAGATAGTTTCCTTATATTTACATCATCATCATCATCATCATTACAGCCCTTCACAAGCCCACTGCTGAACATAGACCTCCCCCAAGGAATGCTACAAAGCACGGTCCTGAGCCACCTGCATCCATCGACTTACTGCATGTCTTACCAGGTCGTCACTACATCTAGTGGGGGGACGCCCTACAATTCGTCCGCCGGTACGAGGCCGCCACTCACGAACCTTTTTTCCCCATCGGCTGTCGGTTCTTCGAGCTATATAGCCGGCCCATTGCTACTTCAGCTTACTAATCCGTTGGGTTATGTCGGTCACTCTGATTTCCATAGGTCATCACTGGTGATATGCACTGGTTGTACAGTCTCGTTTTCAAGTTTTGAGGTATATATACCTGACGAGAAGATGTGCCGTAATTTTCCGAACGCTGCCCATCCAAGATGAATCCATTGATTGACCTCTCGGTCGAAGTTGGACTTACCTAGTAAGATTATTTGTCCCAGGTACATATACTCGTCAACAATTTCGAGCTTAGTGCTCCCAACAACTACCGGCATAGGTATCACATGGACTTTATACATGATCTTAGTTTTGTCTATATTCATCTTAAGACCTATCCGTTGGGAGGCATTATTGAGATCATTAAGCATAGTGCTTAGGTCCTCCAGCGATTCAGCCATTAGGACTATATCGTCGGCAAATCGAAGGTAAGTTATGTACTCGCTGTTCATGTTAATAACGTATCCTTTCCAGTCCAAAAGCTTTAAAACGTCTTCCAATACACCCTGTCTTACACCTCTCTGCAGTTGGCTAGGTTTCGTACTCTGTTTCTGTACTCGGATAGCCATCGTAGCCCTACTGTACAAACACTTCAGCACTTCAGCACTTCGATATACCGACAGTCAACTTGGCACCGCTGGAGACATTGCAGCACCGCCCAAATTTAGACGGAATCAATGGCTTTCTCATAGTCCAAATAGGCCAGACATAGTACAATTTGTCGAAGGGTATGTATGTGATCTATGGTGCTAAAACCTTTTCGAATTATATATATATAACATATTTATATACTAATATAATTATGTTCTTTTATAGAATAATCCTGTAATGGCGGTGTAAGAATATCCTCTAAGCCATTTCATCCCGTGGGTGTCGTAAGAGGCAAAAGAGGCGAAGTGAGCTAAGAGATGGGTAGCAGCATCTTCCTGATAACATTATCATCATTACAGCCCTTCTTTAATTACGCTGCTACGTTACGCTGGTATTCTTTGAAAACGTGTTTATACCCCGGTCAAACCAACCCATTCGTGCTACAACCATAGTATAGATACAGCGTGACTCTACAGATGTCAAAGGTCTCCAGTAGCCACCTGCTATCAGGTGAACTGTAAGTTCATTATGCACTTCTTTTAAAAAAATGTACTGTGTTCGGGAATATAAGGGAATTTTAAAATAATGCAACTTCAATGTGGTCTTGGACGATTGTATTAATATTACAACAGTTGAGACGGTAATAAAATATTGAAAGTACAAAGAAACTGTTTAAAATTAACGTAGTCTACTGACGTAATTACTACGAGCTCGTTGCTCAGAAAAAAGTCACAGGCGCTTTAACATACTGGTTACATTAAAATAAGTTTTATCAAAGATTTTTTTATTTTGTTAAAAAAACCGTTTTCACTCACGTACTTACAACCAGTACAAATTTTATATTTTCACTTGATAAAAAACTAAATCTGCAATTTCAACACTTTTGGACGATTTTCTAAGTGGCGTGTTTATCTTAATGTCATAATAAATTGATGGGCCATTGTACTCTAACATATCAGTAACTACAGATCCAGGTCTGATCGGATTTACTCGGACTTCATACGGAGCCACTTCCAAAGCACCTGCACGAGTGGAATGATTCAGCCCCGCTTTAGTCACACTGTATAAACCAAAAGATGTGAGTGTTATACAGGATCCAGAAACACTAGAAAATTTTGCAATATTTTCCTTCGTTTTGATCATATGGAGCTGCTAAGGTAGTGAAATGAACAATCGCACGAAGGTTTGTTTCCATCACTTCATCATAGAACTCTAATGTTCCTTTATCCAAATTATTTATACATTTTAAAATTGCCGCATTGTTAACTAACACATCCAGTTTTCCAAACGTTTTTTCCACTGCCGCAATAGCTTCTTCATTCTTCGATATGCATTCCAAATTAAATATATAACGATACCGCAACCTGTGCTGCTACTGTAGTGGTGGAACATATTGACTATTCATATGTTAAGTAGAAATAAATATTGATATAATTTAATAAAAGCCTATTTTAAATATTGTAAATAAAATTTACTAAGAGACAACGTCAGAATTTTGGTTAAACAACTAGCTTGTTTTCTTGCGGACGTTAATATTTTAGACAGTAATAAATTTGTTCAAAAAACTTTACAAATATTTACCGTACGAGTACCGCTTCTTGTCTCTGTTTGTCTGGACAAATATTAAGCAGAACTTACGTAGTAACATGGCTTTTAGAGCCGTGTTAACTTAAGGGCTAAGCACTCGCTCTAAAATTAACAGTAAGCGAGTTATTCGATCCCCGCCGGCACCAATGAAATAGTTAGTTTTTATAGAACAAGGGTACAAAACGAACCCCTCCTATTTAGTTTGGTGTTCACCTGATGGTAAGTGGATGCAGTAGCTGATAGAGACATACCTATATCTATGCTGGAATAAGAATCACCCTGCGAATTAAGATGAAGAATGTTTTGTTACCAGAAAGTCTCCGCTCTCGTCAAAATGGAAAATTTTATAGGATATTTTTTGAAATTTAGGGATCCGTAGATGTGTAGGCGTGTGATATCAATGTTAAAAATGTTTTTTTCTCATATTTCATACTGCACGTATTTTCATCAGTACCTACTACCTACATTCAAAGAAAATAGTACCTCAGGTTTTGTATAAAAGTAAATGTAAAGTTGCAGCCTATTTACGTCCCACTGCTGGGCACAGGCTTCCTCTCATTTTTGAGAGGATTTTAGGGCAAGGAAATGTCAGCCGCGCTACCCCGATGCGTGTTGGCGAAATTCACATGACTTCGAAAATATTTTTTTCTTATTTCTCAGACATGCAGGTTTCCTTACGATGTTTTCTTTCACCGCCGAGCACGTGGTAAAATCAGCACTTGGCGTGCCTTATATACAAATCTAAAATTTTTATTAAATACGATCGAATATCGACCACAAGTTGAAAACTACATAGTTAGTAACAATTGTATGAAATTACTTACACTTTTCACTAATATTAATAAAAAGTTAGTCAGTATTAGATACCTAACAATTTATTTATCTAAATCATCTATTTCAGTAAAGTATAGTTATTGTCATCGTTGAGTCGCTACAGAAATAGTATATCAATTGGTAATTGCTCATATCTATGACATTTATATTTTTATTGATACAAGATAATATAGTGACAGACGGGCGCAAAGTCCACCTGATAGATAGTGGATAGCAATATATTGTAATAACACTTAGTCACGCTGAAATGGAATGGCTTGTACCACTACATACTAAATACCACTAAAATGGTATCTTTATATAGTTTTTGCTGGCTTTACGTGAGAGCGTGGTTCCTTCTTGCTGCAGCCATAATACAGGCAGCGTATAAATATAGTATATTCAGGCTTAGTTTTCAAAGAGTAGCCAAATTTTAAACTTAAAGTCAAATATATAAATAATGATATACCGTTATTGCAGTTTTTGTAAATACAAGTAAATAAGGCTTCTACTTTTATTTGAAACTATCCCAAATTGAATGTGATTTATGGGCTACAACATTTTTGCCTACCGATTGACCATTACGAGTGTTTGCGTACCTACGCAGTAAAATCAGGTAAATATATTACAACGTATTTTGAATTTAAAAGATAAAAAGGACCATAATGTTGAGGTGAAATATTTACTGCACATATAAATAGGTATATACAGTAAATATTTTGACCTGTGAAGTAGTCTATGCCCGAAAACCTATACTAAATAGTTCATGGTTAGTTGTGAGTCCTATACGTTTTCATGAGTGAGTTTGCGAGTACCAAAATAAGTCTCTTAAATGGCCGTATCGAATAGAATTTTTTAGACTTTCAAATACCGTACAATTTAGTATTTTATGTTAATTTCAACATGATACTGTGACGTACAGTAAAATTATTTTTAATGGTCCCGTTTTTCCTTTTTAATTACGGAACCCTAAAAATAACGCATGAACGATAATGATGCTTATTCAACGCCACGCGGCCAATGTCATATTTTAGTACGAGCCAGTTACAAGCAAATAGTTTCAGTGACTCACTGCGTAGTGCGGGAACAAGATGAGTTTCGTTGATAAAGTAGCGCTTGTGACGGGAGCTAGCTCCGGAATCGGTGCTGCTACAGCCATCCTATTTGCAAAAGAAGGTGCTTGTGTAGCTTTAGTGGGAAGAAACGAAGTGAAACTAAAGAATGTTTTGGAACAGTGTGAGAAATATAGCAAAAAACATCTCCTAATTATAGCTGATATTTCAAACGACGATGATGTCATAAACGTAGTTAAGAAAACAATAGACTCGTTTGGAAAGCTCGACGTTTTAGTGAATAATGCTGGAATTTGTAGATTTACCAGTATCTTAGATGAAAATCTGATGGCAGTTTACGACGAGACACTAAATACTAATCTCCGAGCGCATGTTCACATAACTAATTTAGCAGCTCCACACCTAATAAAAACAAAAGGCAGTATTGTCAACATATCCAGCACGGCGGGCTCATCAATAAGTATGTCATCGCGTACGTTGCCCTACTTCATATCAAAAGCTGCTTTGGATCAATTTTCTCGCGGAGTTGCTCTAGAGTTAGCTCAGTACGGTGTCCGGGTGAACACTATCAGCCCTGGACCAGTGAAAACGGATATATTTGAAAACGCCAACGCTCCGGTCACAGTTGATTCATTCAAACATATGACTGCACTTGATAGAGTAGCAGAACCCGAAGAAATCGCCGAACTAATTTTATACTTATCCAGCGATAAAGCAAAGAGCATTACTGGTTCAAATTATGTCTCAGATAACGGATATCTCTTAAAGCATTGATATGCATAAAAAAGAGTTAAATATAAAATAAAAATTTCTTTATGATTTGTGTGTGTATGTGTACCTAGAATCAAAATCAAGAATAGAATTTATGATTAATGCCTTTGTTTGTATTCAAAATTCGAATGATAATAAGTAAATAAAAATGAATCTGAATATATAAGTAAATAAAAATTAATTTGAATTTCGAATTTGTATGAATACCTTTATTCTGAACTGATCTGAAGTTGCATCTGCAAGATATAATATATGTATCTACCTACCTCTTTAACCTAGATATTAAAGATTAAAAAATTGAGTTTATCTTTGTAAGTTAACTGATATTTAGAACTGTTGACAATATAATTTGCATTCAAATATTTTGTTTGTTTTCCTAGCAAAGTTATCTAAATTTCTGTAAGAGTGCAATTTATAAATTAGAACATAACAAAACTTGTATTCCTATTATCTATGTGTACATGCATTTAGTTTGTTCTATCCCTGCTATCTCCTGTGATAAAATAAAGCACATTATATTATTTTAGGTATCACGTTTTTTTTTTTATTTTATTTATTCACAAATTGCCTTACATGTGACTTAGTGACTAAACAAAACATGCAAGTTCTAACAATCACATGCACCTCGAAAGTATGCCTTTCGACAACACTTAAAATTTCTTTTCCTCAATTGAATAATAACTTTTTTTTATAAGTAGGTATATCTTTTAAAAAAAATTAATTTTAATGTGTACTTAAAAGTAATAAAACCATCGTATTGTTTTATTACTTTTAAATATACAGACTTGCTAACGAGACTGAGTCCCATAGTTACTTGAGTAATCAACGAAAAAATATACACGACCAATGAAAGTTTAACAACCACTGCCATATTTGTAACAGGCAAAGATCGGATAATATTCATCCGATCTTCACTCACGAGGCGAAACATCGGATCTCGGCCTACAGCGATCTTACCCCTGCATGGACCAGCTTTATTTAGCTATAACTTCATAAAAATTAGTATCCACACAAAATAATAACAAAAGAAGCCATATTCTCGCTAAAAATCGTAAATAAAAGTGATAGGGAAAGATCGGATGGACAAAAATAATACAAAAATTACATTGTTTTATAAAATGCCACGCAGCACAGGTCCCACTTGTCGGAGTGACTGGCGCGAACTGAGGGTCGGGGCCAGTGTTGCCAAGTCTGAAATCTAGCGGACGGTAGAATTCTTCTAAAAATACGGTAGAATTTTCGAAATTATGTTGTAATATATATTTGAAATACGGTAGAATTACCTTGTTTATTTAGTAGCATGTTATGGGTCAGAGTTAAAAAAAAAAACATATTTTTAATCAGAATCGGACAGTATAATTGTTTCAATATTTTTATACATATCATTGTTATGTTTTGCGATCATAGCGTGAGTGGGATTAAAATCAACACAGTTTTTTCCGTGACGCTGTATGGCTTGCTGCGATAAGAGATTTCCCTTGATGGATTTCGTTAGGAGTTTATTCCGTTTTTTTGTTTTTATATCGTTAACTCTGCTGAAGACTCTTTCGCACTCAGCATTCGAGTGTGGCAGAGACAAAATGGCCAACATAAATTTTGGCAAGTGTTGGAAATAGGTATTCCCTTCTCGATGTTGGTCACGCAGTTCTGCGACCTGAAAAAAAAAATGATTAGGCTGCTATAACAATAGAAACCAATATGAATTCACGTTGCTTCGAGTTTACATGGAAACTTACCTGGTGCCAAAATACGTCAGGGGGTTGACTTAAATCCAAATCTTTGTAGTATAACGGCAACTTCCGCCACTCATCATCTAGTTCTTGTTGATGTTGGATTGAAGTTGGGGCAATTCTGGGCAGTAATGGAAATAACGACGAAACTGACTCTTCCCTGTCATCAGAAATTACTTTCTCTAGATCAAATTTTGCTATTTCTGTCATAATTTTGTCATTAAAACAGTATCGTTTACGAAGGCCCACACAAGCTCTAATAATAAAATTTTTACACATCTTTCTGAGAGTTAACTTTCTTTCTTCATTTTCAACAGAATCTAGTTCTTTCTGGACACCTAAACCTAGATATATGTCTTTTAGGTCCTTGTGATTTATTTCTGTCATTGGATCTATAGTTTCAATAGGAGCGGAATTTACATAATTTCTGTGTAAAACCAATAGTAACAGTTCTTTATAAAAATCTGTCATTTTCCCATGTAGTTTCGTAATTAAAATAGATTCGCTCTGAAAACAGCTATTTAATGTTGTAAATTTTGGCAACATCCAAGCCAAAAAATAGTAATAAGCCTTGATTATGGGATCATTCAGGCATGCATGAATATCGTGGCACTCCGATTCTTCCAGCCATTTGCTATTGAAATAAAGACGTAATACATCCCATTGTTCCAGAATCCTTTGCACTACTGCATTTAAAGACAACCATCTAGTCTGGGCTGGTCTTAGAATTTTGTGCACATCCGCCTCAGCAAAATACTGGAACTCTTTCAACTCACTCTGCCTTTTACTAATGGATTTAAAATAATTATAAATATTTCGCGCCATTTTTTCACAATTTAGTGGAAGCTCTTTACATGCGTCACTAGCGCAAAGATGCAGAGAATGGCAAATGCATTTGATCACAATTATGCCTGGACAACGTTGACGAAATCGACTTGAAACTGAATTGTTACATCCCATCATTGTGTTGCATCCATCAGAGCCGAAACCTATGATGTTTTCCGTAGGAATCTCATACTTTTGAAATGAACCTATAACAGTATTAAAAAGTTTTTCGGCATTTGCAACATGATCGGTGGTTTTCTCATCAAATAATTGAATCAAATTCCAAAACCGAGTGATAACTTTACCAATCATTGGATCAAAATACCTGACCACTACAGCTACTGTTTTTACTACAGCAATATCTGTGCTTTCGTCTATCAAAATTGAAAACATTTGTGATTTCAAGTCACTGATCAAGTTTTCTTTTTCAGTTTCCCCAATACAGTTATTTATCACAGCTTGAACTTTAGTTCTTTTTAATCTAATATCTTTGGCTATCTGAGAATCTGGGAACAACTTTGGTAACAAATCTGCTAAGTGATTCATGACATTATGAGATACCTTATGCTCAGCAACAAAAGCAGCTAATTTTATTTCTGAAGTCTTTACCAATTGCTTTTCATTAGTTGGCATGGATTTAAAAACGCTTACTATAGACTGTTGTTTTTTGGACGTTGAAGCACTACACCTCTTTAAATTATTCACGTGTTTAGTTCCTTCTTTGTGGCGTTTTATTACACTTATTTCGGCACTGAAAGATGTATTGCAAACATTGCAGACCGCCTTCGATAAGTCCCCATTATCCTTTCTTAGCCAGTCACTATATTCTTTATTCAGCAACCATTCTTCCCGAAACTTCTGCTTATAACGCTTTCTCTTAGCCGGTACTCGTGTTAAGCTATCTTCTCGATCAGTAGCGCTGTCGCCATCACTCTCCATATTTTTAAACACTCAGATCACACACAACACAACAAACTCTTACGTAATTTTAAGTATTAATGAAATGTTAGTCGTATCTCGTTTATGATACAAATAAACTAGGAAAATTAAAAAGCTCTAAGTATTCATTGAAATTCAAATACATACAGCACCCCCGAATTCGTTCGCATAATATCTCCAAGCTGGTACCACGCTATTGGGGGATTTCCCGACGCATAAAACAGTGTTGTCGGTAGAATAAAAGGAAAATACTGTAACGTAAAGAAAGTAAACAATCAAACTCGCTAAAATTATTTTAGTTTATAGATAATCATATTTAGATACGATCTTCATTGGGTATTACGGTGTATTTTGCTACCGTAATTATAATCCTACGGTAGGTGGTAGATCTATGCTGATTACGGTGTTTTTACCGTAATTACGGTGCAGTTGGCAACACTGGTCGGGGCAGGATGAAACGGCGTCGTGTAGCATATTGTTACCTTTTCAAAATATAGCATAATTCGCCGGGAATTCGAATCCTACGGTCTTGCCCCATCACCGATCTTACCCCAACGTACCTTATTTATTCATATTTTAGCATTTAAATAGATATATAAATCAATCACCAAAATATAAACAAATAAACATGTTTATTATTTAAATAGAAAGATATGTGCATATACACCTGTGCATATGTACATATGTGCCTATTATATGGTATATGTAATATGTAAATTATATGTATAATATTTCATTTATGTAATCTACTCCCGTTGTAGCTGTTCATAGAAATATTTTTTGAATTTGTTTTTGTAGTTATCCTCATTGAAATCTGAGAGTATTGTATTGGATTTGGTTCATTAAAGTAGGAATTAAATATCTATTTGTACGTTTTCCATAGTAGTTATGTATTTTTGATGTTACGAGTTTATTATGTGTAATTTTTCTTGTAATAATTTTATGGTTAGTTTTAACTTGCACTTTTTTATTGTGAAATTAGCATCTGAAATTTCGTATGTAAGATAAGATCATAGGTAAGACTTTACAATATTTAAATATTCCTTGAATATTTTTTTCACTGTATAATTTTATTTTTACTTTCTTAGGTATAATTATTTTCAATATTCTCATTTGTAGGTTATGTATTTTATCTAGGTAAGTTTTAAATGTTTTTCCATAGCTCGTAATGCCATACGAAATAATAGACTCAGCAAGAGCGTTATATAGATTCATGAGGATGTGAAATGGCATTTTATATTTTAGTATTGCAAACTTTGCTAGCATAGCCCGTAGCTTGTTACATACATACTCAAAATGTTTACTCCAATGGAATCTTTCGTCCACAATCAGGCCTAGGTATTTATAATTGTTAACTTGTTCTAGATGAGTACAATTACAGTTAATATTTAATTTCGTCGATCTATATAGGCAGTTATAGTTGTGTGCGAGTATTTTTATCGGTCTTTCGTTTTTATTAGAGTGCGTTGAGCGTACATGTATAATTTTAGTTTTAAGTCCCGCATCATGTGACCACATACATAGGTTAGTAAAGTCGAGTTGTAACATTTTTTCTGCTCTTGTAATGTCTTTGTTAGCTATTACTAGGCAAGTATCGTCTGCATATTGATACACTGAACTATGTTTAATCATATTCACCATATCATTTACAAAGGCCAGATAGTGTAAAGGGCCAAGGACCGATCCCTGGGCTGTTCCTGTAGTGACAGGTATTTTATCACTGTATTCGTTTTCAATTCTCACCCGGTAGTTTCTACCTTTGAGGTAATCTTCACACCACCTGAGAAGAGGCCCACGAACGCCCGTATTATCTAGTTTTTTTATTAATAAATCGTGTTTAAGTGTATCGAAAGCTTTACTGAAGTCAATAAATAAAAGAATTACGTGTTGCTTGTTGTCTAAATAATTGTTAATTTCATCGGTAAATTTTGATAGTAAAGATTTAGTTGATCTATTTTTTTGAAAACCGAACTGAGTGCTGGACAAGATTTCATTCGATATATAATATTTTTGTATCTGATTACATATGTATTTTTCAACTATTTTATCTATCACAGGAAGTATTGTAATTGGCCTATAATTGTTATAATCACAGTGCGACCCCTTTTTGTAGATGGTTCTTACTATTCCTACTTTTAATTCTGAGGGATAAATACCAGAATGAACACTGGTATTAATAAGCTTTGCAATTGCTGTCGTGATTTTTTCACATAAGGATTTTATGTCAACGCAACGAATCTGGTCCGCTCCGGGAGCTTTGTTTATGTTCAATTTCTGAATTATTTTATCTATGCTCTTGCTATCTGCTGCTGTAAACCGCATTGAACTATTTTGAGAAAACAGGTACGTTGCTTGATCCAAAAGTTTTTGTTTACAGTTAGGTAGTATTCTTTCAATATTTTCTTTAAAACCTTTGCCAAAATTATTTGCCTTAAACCGATCCGATTTACCCGATGTCAAAAAAATTTATAATAAATTTTATTGACATCGGGTAAGGACCTGAACTGTGTAATTTTAATTTAGATTTTGTTTGCAAAAGGTTATTCTTATAGCGAGGTATGTTGTGTCGGGGCGCGTCTATGATTTTGGTGTAAAAACTTGGGTGTCTTTTTACAAACTTACATTTTTATAATATATAGGCACGGTAATATTAGAATGTTGAAATTTTGAAAGTGAGGTTTGCAGCTTTCTCTTTGTTTGATATTTGAAAGTACGCGTATATAAATATTTTTTTTGTAAAATAAAAAGTTCGTGTGATTTTACACTGTTGCCCCACAGTATGACATTCTAAATAGGGAGTACGAAATATATTTAATAGAAATTATGATTAATACCTTTATTCATATTCAAAATTCGAATATGAATTTAAAATTTGAATTTGAATTTCGAATTTGAATACCATTACTTTCTGAACTAAAAGGTGGCATATTAACTGAGTTTTCATTTAATTATAAAATATCTCATAATAAAGGGCTTTGTATCAAATATGATTTATACCAAAAAAGTCAGATAAATGTAGCGCCTGAATAAATATATACGTATCGGCACAGAATAAATAATAGTTAAGTATCGGTCGATAATGAAGACTAGATAGTTACCTTATATTTACATCATCATCATCATCATTACAGCTCTTCACAAGGCCACTGCTAAATATATGCCTCCCCCAAGGAATGCCACAAAGCACGATCCTAAACCACCTGCATCCATCGACTTCCAGCATGTCTTACCAGTTCGTCACTCCATCTAGTGAGGTGACGTCCTACACTTCGTCCGATAGTACGGGGCTGCCACTCGAGAACCTTTCTTCCCCATCGGTTGTCGGTTCTTCGAGCTATATGGCCAGTCCATTGCCACCTTAGCTTACTAATCTGTTGGGCTATGTCGGTCACTCTGGTTCTACTGCGTATATCCTCATTTCTAAGTTTATCACGCAGAGAAACTCCGAGTATAGCTCTCTCTTTAGCTCGCTGAGCAACTTTGAGCTTCCTCATCCGGCCAGCAATGAAAGACCACGTCTCAGTTCCATAGATTATCACTGGTCAACACGCACTGGTTGTACAGTCTCGTTTTCAAGTTTTGAGGTATACCTGACGAGAAGATGTGCCGTAATTTCCCGAACGTTGCCCAGCCGAGTTGAATCCGTCAATTGACCTCTCGGTCGAAGTTGGACTTACCTAGTCGGATTATTTGTCCCATGTAAACATACTCGTCAAAAACTTCGAGCTTAGTGCTCGCAACAACTACCGGCATAGGTGTGACATGGACGTTATACATGACCTTTGTTTTGTCCATGTTCATCTTAAGACCTATCCGTTGGGAGGCACTATAGAGGTCATTGAACATAGTGCTTAGGTCCTCCACGATTCTGCCATAAGGACTATATCGTTGGCAAATTGAAGGTGAGTGACGTACTCGCCGTTGATGTTAATAATGTTAATAATATTCTTTCCAGTCCAGAAGCTTGAAAACATCTTCCAATGCAGCGGTGAAGAGTTTCGGGGATATAACGTCACCCTGTCTTACACCCCTCTGCAGTTGGATAGGTTTCATGCTCTGATTCTGTACTCGGATAGCCATCGTAGCCCTACTGTACAAAAACTTCAGCACTTCGATATACCGAAAGTCAACTTGGCACCGCTGGAAGAACTGCAGCACCGCCCAAATTTCGACAGAATCAAAGGCTTTCTCATGGTCCACATAGGCCAGACATAGTGGCAAATTGTACTCTTCGGACTGCTGTACAATTTGCCGAAGGGTATTTATGTGGTCTATGGTGCTAAAGCCTTTTCGGATCATGTATATAATATATTTACATAGTAATATAATTATGTTTTTATAGAATAATCGTGTAATGGCGGTGTAAGAATATCCTCTAAGCCATTTCATCCCGTGGCTGTCGTAAGAGGCAAAAGAGGGAAAGTGAACTAAGAGATGGGTAGCAGCATCTTGCTGATAACATCATCATCATTACAGTCCTTCTTTAATTACGCTGCTACTTTACGCTGGTATTCTTTAAAAGCGTGTTTATACACCGGTCAAGCCAACCCATTCGTGCTACAACCATGGTATAGCTGCAGCGTGGCTCTACACGTGTCAAAGGTCTCCAGTAGCCACCTGCTATCAGGTGAACTGTGAGTTCATATTCACTTTTTTAAAATAGTTTAAAATTAACGTAGTCTACTGACGTAATTACTACGAGTACGTTCTTTGACTCGTTGCTCAGAAAAAAGTCGCAGGCGCTTCAACATACTGGTTACATTAAAATATTTTTTTTATTTTGTTAAAAGAACACCGTTATCACTTACATACTTACAACCAGTACATGCTTTAGCTTTTTCACTTGATAAAAAAACTAAATATGCAATATCAACACTTTTGGACAATCTTCCATGTAGCGTGTTTATTTTAATGTCATAATAAATTGATGGGCCAGTGTTCTCTAATATATGAGTATCTACAGGTCCAGGACTCATAGCGTTTACTCGGACTCCATACGGAGCCAGTTCCAAAGCAGCTGCTGCCCGAGTGAAATGATTCAGCCCCGCTTTAGTCACACTGTATAAACCAAATGATGTGAGTATTATACAGGATCCAAAAACACTAAAATTGTTTGCAACGTTTCCCTTCGTTTTGATCAGGTATGGAACTACATAATGATTTTTTATATTGACGCTGACACTACACATTGAATAAAACTACTTTTACGGATTTTATCGCGTTTAGTTAACTTATTTTGCTTATTTTTATTAATTCCCGATATTTCGTGTGCTTTCCAGCACCCATGGTCACGGGGGACTGAGTTGATTGACGTCCCGATGTCAGAGTTAATCCCGAGTACCTTCAGCATTTCATCACATGGTTCTTGCTCCTTTTTCAGTAGTTGATATTCTTACACTGTCACTATACGGTCCAGAAAGGTCGGTCAAGATAGTCGTAACGAAATAAAAAATGTCAATGATTTTTGCAGATACGTCTATTTAAATTAACAACAATATACATTTACTGTGACAAAAGGTATCCATTGTCAGATACATAATTGGAGCCCGTGATGGCTTTAGCTTTATCACTAGACAAAAATAAAACTAGATGAGCAATTTCAATTGGATCAGATATCGTGCCGAGGGGTGTCTCTATATTGCTGTTATCTATAGGATGCACAGGTCCAGCATTTTCGTAGATATCAGTGTACACTGGTCCAGGGCTTATTGCATTTACCCTTACTCCATACGAAGCCAGTTCTAAAGCTGCACCACGGGTAAAATGATCCAAGCCTGCTTTGGACACGCTGTAAGGTACTAGTAATGGCGACACCACAGAAGAACCATCGACGCTTGATATATTTACAATGCATCCTTTCGTTTTTATCAAATGTGGAACTGCTAAGCTTGTAAGATGATCAGCTGCCCGAAGATTCGTTGCCATTACTTCGTCATAAGCTTCCAATATTCGGCCATCGATTAGATTTCCATACCTTAAGATTCCTGCATTGTTCACTAAGATGTCCACTTTCTCAAAAGTCTGTATAGTTTTGTCTATAGCTGCTTTAGCTTCGTCATCTTTTGACACATCTGCTTTTATTACCAAAGGTTTCTTCCCATAAGACTCACATTCAGCAGCAACTTTTTCCATTTTAGTCTCATTTCGACCAATTATCACAACGTAAGCGCCTTCCTTAGAGAATTCTTTGGCCGTGGCTGCACCAATTCCTGAGCTGGCTCCGCTTATGAACACTACTTTATTCTTAAAACTCATCGTTGCTAAGTTGATCACACGTCGGTCGCGCGTCGTTTTAAGAGTGTACTGTCAAATCTCTTAACAGCATAATTATATCTGCAGTAATTACCTACGTAATATATTTTGATGTAAAACGCCTTACTCTGCCATCACGATATCTCTAACAATATGTGTTTTTTATCTTTGTTTACGAAAATTATAAACTGCTATCGGTATATAAAATAAAAATTAAGTCGACATTTACAGTTAAAACATTTAAGACGAAGTAATAAAGCTATATACTTTTTTTTCTTTATTTTATACACATTACTCTAGGATTTTCTTATATGTCGTGCTTATAGAGTAGTGAGTGAGTAAGTGTATGTTGACTTACAATTTTTTACAAGAACAAACCCGACACAATTATTTGTAAGCCATACAAATACTTGTTCCGTGCGGGATTCAAAGCCGCGGTTGCAGCAACCCAATGATGCTATATCAAAATAAGTGCATTGATTTAACGCCAACAATTTGCTTATGTATGGTATTAAAACGAAATGTATTATCACACAAAACCAATTGTGTGTTAATGTAACGGTTAATAGCCGAAATACGGTTAAACCTAGTTCTATCCGGCTAGAACTAGGTGCAGCCAACATTATTTGGTTAAATTTAGGTGTATCTTTTAAATTTGTAAAAACACGAATATACGTATCAAGTAATATAATAATTAACAGCAGCTTAAGGTACCCGCGGGCCACCGCAAAACCGCAGATATTTATCTAATTTATAAATGCATCCTTTCGTTTTTATCAAATGTGGAACAGCTAAGCTTGTAAGATGATCAGCTCCCCGAAGATGCGTTGCCATAACTTCGTTTTTATGATGATTTATATGATGACTACATATTTATGCCATTTGCTGTAGAGACTATCGGTCCGTGGGGTCCACGTGCGGTGAAGTTCCTCCATCCACGGCTGGTCGTTGCTTCTGGTGATAAGAGGGCTGGTTCTTTTAAGGCTATACTTAGCCTTTGAGCGAGAAAAGTATATTCAGCGGGGAAACGCAGCCAGCGTTTTTGTCACGATACCGCGGGGAGTAGGACTATATGATAATTGAGTTTCCAGTTTTAGTTTTTTTTTTATTATTGTGGTTTTTAATATAATATGAAACGATTTTTTTAGAAAATATAACATAGATTTATAAATTATATATGATACACCTAAGTTTAACCAACCGCAATAGGATGCACCTAGTAGTAGCGGGTTAAACCTAGGTGTATCCGCACTTTGGCTTTTAGCCGTAACATTTATATCTACATTTCAGTTCATTCATGTTGTGAATTTAACCAATACCAGTGTAATTTTAATGGAAAGGAGCTGGGTCTTGTTGAATCTACTACTTTTTTAGAATTACAGTTGACGCACAGCTTCAGTAGAATCCTCAAATAACAAACTTAATTTTGCAGCATACACTGTAAAGATTAGGTCAGTTTTTTTAATTATTTCCGTAGCATAATGTCGTATGGAATTTTGCTATGGGCTAATGCGACTGACATTTAAGCTATCTTTTTTTTGCAAGAGCAATTTGTAATCGAAATCAGGAGTGTAAAGAGAAAAACATCGAAAAAATTAAATACATAAATTTTAAAAAAAAAAAACAAGAGCAGTTTTGCTAAATTATGGATGTAGGTAGCTCAGGATCATGCTTTGTGGCATTCCTTAGAAAGACCTACGTTCAGCAGTGGACTTGTGAAGGGTTGTGATAATGATTAGAATAGAATGGAATGATTTTTTTATTCAATATTGATTATTACATAATACTTATTGAAAGAATTTTTTTATTTACCACTATTTCGGAAATACTTCTAGCCTAAGAAGAATCTGCAAGAAATGCAGTAGAATAAAAAAATAACTTACGATAGGTATTATGTTGTTCAATTGTATATAAATAATATTCAAAAACTACAAGGTAGCGATCACCTCATTCCCATAGGAAATCATGTCAACATAATTTCACTTAACATTAATTTTGTTTATACAATTTTAAATGAATTTTCATAGAACCAGCATGGTGGCGATCACCTTATTCCCAGGGGTTATTTTCATTCATGTATTCCTTGATATTATAATAACCTTTTTTGTACAGTTTTTCTTTAATAAAACTTTTAAGCTTGTTTATTGACAAACTTTGAACATGTTCTGGGATTTTGTTGTAAAAGCGTATACATTGCCCCATAAATGAATTACTAATTCTATGGAGTCTAGTAACTGGCATTACAAGCTTATGTTTGTTCCTAGTGTTTAAGGTATGAACATCCTTATTCTTATTAAAGCTATTTATGTTTTATGTACATACATTACATTTTCAAAAATATATTGAGATGCCAAAGTTAATGTGTTAAAAAGTAAAAGTAAAGTTGCAGCCTATTTACGTCACACTGCTGGGCACAGGCCTCCTCTCATTTCTGAGACGGTTTTAGGGCAAGGAAATGTCCGCCGCGCTGCCCCAATGCGTGTTGGTGAAATTCACATGTCGTCGAAATTCGTAATTCGAAAATAAAAAAAATTTTTCTTATTTTCTCAGACATGCAGGTTTCCTCACGATGTTTTCCTTCACCGCCGAGCACGTGGTAAACCAGCATTTAAAATTGCAATTAACAATTTCATTGGTGCCGGTGGGGATCGAACCCGGGTTGCTCGAGTACTGTGAAGCTTACAGCGAGCGCTAACCATCTGAACTACCACGGCTCTGTAAATATGTTTATTTCTTTAAATTTTTCTCTGAGGGACTCTTCACAATTTAGGTTATAAATCGCTCGTACAGCTCTCTTTTGCAAAACAAATATAGCTTAAATATCAGTCGCACTTTCCCATAGCAAAATTCCATAGGACATTAAGCTATGAAAGTAACTAAAATACACTAACCTAGCTGTCTCAACATCTGTGAGACTTAAAATCTTTCTTACAGCATATGCTGCAGAACTAAGTCTGCATGCTAATTTAGATATATGGGGGCCCCATTAAAATTTCGCATCAATAGTAATACCAAGAAAAACAGTGGTATCCACAAGACTCAACTCCTCCCCATTTAAGAGCACATTGGTTTTCGAATGTTTTACATTAGGTATTGTAAATTTAATACATTTTGTCTTATTGCCGTTTAAGAGCAAATTGTTGGCGTTAAACCAATGTACTAATTTCGATAGAGCATTATTTACATCATCATAATTAATTGACTGCCGTTTGAGTTTGAAAATTAAAGAGGTATCGTCAGCAAATAATACTATATTGTGATTCTCCCTTACAAGATATGGTAAGTCATTAATATAGATTAAGAACAGGAATGGGCCAAGAATAGAGCCCTGAGGAACGCCCATTGATACCACTGATCCGGAGGAACCTTTACCATTGATCACGATTTTTTGAGTTCTGTTACTTAAATATGAAGTAATAAGTCTAAGCGCCAAATTTTTTATAACGTAACGTTGTAGTTTCCTGATTAATGTCTCATGATGAACACAATCGAAAGCCTTGGAAAGGTCACAGAAAAGATTCTGTGAATACTAGAAATAAACACAAGCTGGTAATGCCAGTTACTCGACTCCAACGAGTCGGTAATTCCTTTATGGGATAATGTACACACTTTTACAATAAAATCCTAGAAAATATGCAGTATCTATTAAAAACTTTTAATAAATTATTAACGAAAGTTGCTTAAAAAGGGTTATTACCTACTATACGTCCTTAGATATGAAATTAGCGTTTTGTCGTACCACTTTGATCTGAAATATCTGCTCTTTGATCAAGAATTCCAAATTCCTATTTATAAATTATTTTATCTGGTACATTTGAGTTTTTGAAAACAGTCATTTATTTGTTATTTTCCTCATTATTTTTTACTTTGGCGTTGCTTATTACCGCACAATGGAAAAAGTTTTCGTTCTAGAAATTTCGACCTTCTGAACCAACCCCGTGGACGGCCGGAGACCAAAATAGAAAATGAAGAATTAATGGCTATTGTGGAAGCAGTCCATCACAAAGCACTTCAGAGATAGCTGCAGGATTCGGGGTAAGTGATAAAACTGTATTAATCCATTTGAAGCAAATCGGGAAAGTAAAAAATGATGGGACGATGGGTACCTTATGAATTGAGTGAATCGAACTTGCAAACACGCGTCGAATGCTGTGTTACTTCGCTCAAACGACACAATAATGAAGGGATTTTAAATCGAATCATTACTTGAGATGAAAAGTGAATACTGTACGATAATCGGAAGCGCTCGACACTATGGCTGGAGACCCAGCCAAATCCTGCCCTAAACGAAAATTGACTCAGGAAAATTACTTGTAGTGGACCAGCGCCGGTGTCATTCACTACAGCTTTCTAAAATCTGGCTAAACAATTACGGCAGATATCTATTGTCAGCAACTGGAAACCATGAAGGAAGAACTAGCTGCTAAATAACCGAGATTGGTCAATCGCTCTAGGCCTCTGCTGCTTCACGACTACGCAAGACCACACACTGCACAACAAACAACCACTAAGTTAGATAAGCTACAATTGGAATGTCTGCGACATCCACCGTACTCCCCGAACCTTGCTCCAACAGATTACCATTTTTTCCGGAATTTGGACAACCTCTTACAAGGAAAAAATTCAACTACGATGGGGCAGTCCAAACTGCCTTCAAAGAGTTTATTGATTTTCGCCCCGTGGTTTTTTAAGTAAAGGGATCAATGAACTACCTATCAGATGGCAAAAGTACATAAATAACAACGGTTCACATTTTGATTAATTAAATAAATTTTACAAAAAAAAATTTACTTTATTTTCCTCCCGTACAAAACGCCAATTTCATATGTAAGGACCTAATATGATACATGATTTCCTATGGGAATGGGGTGATCGCTACCATGTAATTTTTGAATATTCTTTATATACAATTGAACAAAATAATATCGTAAGTTATTTTTTTATTCTACTGCATTTCTTGCAGATTCTTCTTGGGCTAGAAGTTTTTCCGAACCAGTGGTAAA